TGACATGGCATGGCATGGCATGGCATGACATGACATGACATGGCATGGCATGACATGACATGACATGACATGACGTGACATGGCATGGCATGGCATGGCATGGCATGGCATGGCATGGCATGGCATGGCATGACATGGCATGGCATGGCATGGCATGGCATGGCATGGCATGGCATGGCATGGCATGACATGACATGACATGACATGACATGACATGACATGACATGGCATTGCATTGCATTGCATTGCATTGCATTGCATTGCATTGCATTGCATGCATGCATGCATACATCTTATAAGTGCAGCAGGATGTGCGCTGCCATGAAGTGAGGGTGTTCAGTCTTGCTCTGTTGTAGGGTGCATTCTCGATGCACGGAGCCGCTGCCCGATGTGACAGAATTGAGAACTCTGCAGATCAACCTTAAGGTTTAGGGTATAGTGTCTAGGCTCTAGGCTTCAGGGTGTAGGGTGTAGCATCTAGGGCACATGCAGAACGAAAAACGCAGGTTGGACAGGAGTCTAAGACGAGAGACGGGCATAGCTTCCAGCTTCAGGCAGCATTGTATTTCCTGTGCTGAGGCCAAGTGCTTGATGCTCCACGAAGGAGAGCTGGAGAGTCCATAAAACCTAAACCCTAAACCCTAAACTCTGACCCACAGACAGACGAAAGTGCATGGTCAGGACGTGGGGCCAAGATCGAGGGAAGCAGCCTGGCTAAATTCAGGGACCCAAAAGGACATCAGCATAAGCATTTTACAGGGATATCCCCACCTTGTTGGGCTTCATGATAAGGGGGGTTTATATGGGATATCCCTATCCAACTTTTTGCTTATGCGCTTTTTTGGGGCCCTAAAATACATGTCTTTATACACTACACTATATATTACATTTTGTATACACGCAAGAATATTTGTAAATCTTGCATATACAATACAATATAGCACAATGGACTGTAACAAAATCTGTGATGCAATGTAATGTAATGTATTCCGATGTAGCGGAACGAAAAAATAGAAATGTCCATATAGAGAGCAGTGTTCAACATGCGTGGGGCTCGACGCTTTGCCCTGTGCTCACCCAGGTGCCCAGCTGAAGGGCTGTCTTGGAACACTGGGCTACTTGGCGCCGGAGGCGGCGACGGATTTCAACATGCGTTTCAGGGTTTGTAGGGTTTAGAGTTTTTCTTATCGGGTTTAGGGCCGATGGGGCTTATGGGGTTTAGGTTTGAATGAATCTGATCCCTAAACCCTAAACCACTAAACCACTAAACTCTAAACCCTAAACCACTAAGCCCTGAACCCCACACCACTAAACCCTAAACCCTAAACCACTAAACCCTAAGCCCTAAACCCTAAACCACTAAGCCCTGAACCCCAAACCACTAAGCCCTGAACCCTAAACCCTAAACCCTACACCCTAAACCCTAAACCGCAAAATCCTAAGCCCTAAACCCGAGTTTTCGGCAGGTCATTAGCAGCGCAGCCTCCTCGGAGGTGGGCTGCTCTCCCCCGTGCTCAGGGGTTTAGGGTTAAGGGTTGCGTTCAGGTTTACGGGGTTCAGGGTTTAGGGGTTTAGGGTTTAGGGTTTAGGGTTTAGGGTTTAGGGGTTTAGGGTTCAGGGTTTAGGATTTAGGGTTTAGGGTTTAGGATTTAGGGTTTGGGATTTAGGGCGTGCGTTTAAGATGTTATGGGTTAACAGTCTCTGAATGCATTCGTGATGCGAAGGCGAGCTACAGATCTCCTACACCTGGCAGATTTTCAGAAGCTTGAGGGTAATTGAGGGGCCTTAATAATTTCAAAAAGGGTTTGGGATATATTTTGCTATAAGTATAAAACGGAACCCCCAAAACCCTATTCTAATTATTAAGGCCCTTACATTACCTTTCTCTTTCGGACCCGTTCTCCCAAGTAAACCAACGATACTACGAGTATATTTTTAGGAATGGCTCCCGCAGATATTGGGGATTCTTAAGGCTTCTGCTCTTGTTTCGACTTCCTACTTAAACCCTAGAGCCTAAACCCTAAACCCTAAACCCCAAACCCTAAACCCTATACCCTAAGCCTCTAGACCCTAAACCCTAAACCCCAAACCCCTAACCGAAAGCCTCCAAACTTCTTGTGACACGTAATCCACATCGCCATGGTACGATGCACACGACATCCGACTCGAAGCAGCCTACGCGCTACTCTTGGGGTTTAGGGTTTGGGGGCCTTTATGCCGCCTTTGCTGCGCTACGGCTGCTCATTCCATCAGACTGTTTAGGATTCAGGGTTTAGGGCGCTTCGTAGATAAGGGAAGCCCTCTTCATGTCTGGCAATCAAGTTTTGGACTCGGCTTCGGCAGAGATGAATAGCTGTGCGGAAGTACATTCAACCAAAAACCTGGACTCCAAACCAAAGCCCCAAATCCTAAACCCTAAACCTCGCACCCTTAAACTGTAAAAATCCGCTTTCAGCTGAAACAACCTAACCTCTAGACCCTAAACCCTGAACCCTCGTGGATCCCTAAACCCTAAACCCTAAACCCCTAAACCCCTAAACCCTAAACCCGACCACGGCCTCCATAGGCGTATAGCGAGAAGTGCGACATCTGGTCTCTGGGAGTGGTCCTCTTAGAGCTGCTCCGTTGGCGGCTCAGCATTTCTGCTCCGCACATGTCCGAGTTTAGGATTTAGGGGTTTAGGGTTCAGTGGTTT